TCCTCTGTATTGTCGCCCCCTCCCGAGAAGGCGGGTGCCGCCGCCGCGACCCTCCTGCCGCACGATGTGGCGCCCCCAGGGGCGCTGCACCCCCAGCACCCACATGGCCGCACCCACCTGCCCTTCGCCGCCTCCCGCGAGCCGGAAAGCTCTGCTCAGGAAGATCCCTCGCAGCCAGGAAAGGAAACCCCCTGAATGTTTGCGCCCCGTTCTTAGAAAGGACGAGGCCAAGCGGAATAATAATAATAATAAATTAAAACACCCTTAACGTTTTTTAAGGGAGGAAGTGTAATAGATGCACGACAGGCTTAAAAAAAAAAAAAAAGTGTTTTTTGTATATTTGGAGTTTCTGTTTTGCTCATCCTTCACCACCCCACCCACCACACACTAACATCCCTTTCTTACCCCACCAGCTGTAAAACATCACCTGCAATATATACTCCTTATTTCTTTAAAGAACCCCTCCCCAAAATAAGTTTTGCCTCCCTTTAGGCCATGTTCCATTATCTTTAAAAATGTAGAACCTAATTCTAAAGGAAATCAGCAGGCTCTCCTCTGTGGGTGAGCTCATTGAACCAGGGTAGGGGAAAAGGTGTTTAGAGCCTTGACAACCAACAGCAGGGAGTTATTATCTGCCTATATCTCAAAGCTGCCCTGCCTGTTTTAGGTTTCCACCAACAGAATTGAGGATCTTTTAGAATTAAATTTACTCTGCAGTATTTTATAATGTTCAGCTTTTTTAAAGGTGTATATTTTTCAAAGAGGAAGTGAGGATGCATGCAGTTGCTTAGATTGCAACCTAATCTGAAGTTGTTTAAATGGTATCTCTGAATAACTTGCACTTGTTAAAAGAGACAAGAGTTGGGCCATTGTCAAAAGCTAAGTCAGGGAAAGAGATGGAGGAAGGCAGCCAGAATTTTTCTTAGTATATTTGCTAGGATTTTATTGAGAAATGGACCATGACTCAATTGGCTCATCTTAATGTCCTCCTAGTCATGATACGTGTGTATATGTGTATACATGTATATACATATATATGTGTATATATATACACATATAGCTGTATCAAGTGCATCTGTTTCCACCCTGTCACTATTTAATTCATTATGTTTTAAGTTTTTGTAATATTGCTGTAAAAAAAAACAATGTGCACTGAACTTAAAAAAGATAAGAAAACAAGTTCAGATGGATTTATCCTATATTCTTTTAAGTCACAGAAATAGAGGAAAGAGTTAAGCTGGTCAGTTTTGATTAGAAATGTTGTAAAGATGTGGGATAAAGCCCCCTGAGGCCTTCCTATCTCTAAGTCTATGTATTTTCTGGAGACCAAACCAGATACCAGATAATCACAAAGAAAGATTTTTTAAATAAGGCTTAAACCAAGACCTTGTCTAGATATTTTTAGTTTGTTGCCAAGGTAGCACTGTGAGGAATCTCACTTGAATGTTATGTAAGAGGTGAGACACAACAGTCTGACTATGAGTGAAGAAAATATCTGGGTCTTTTAGTCAGTTTGGTGCATTTGCTGCTGCTGTTGCTACTGTTTGCCTCAAACGCTGTGTTTAAACAACGTTAAACTCTTAGCCTACAAGGTGGCTCTTATGTACATAGTTGTTAATACATCCAATTAATGATGTCTGACATGCTATTTTTGTAGGGAGAATATATGTGCTAATGATATTTTGAGTTAAAATATCTTTTGGGGAAGATATGCTGAAAAATTGCACTTTTGTTACAATGCTTATGCTTGGTACAAGCTTATGCTGTCTTAAATTATTAAAAATAAATATTGTCTGCAAGAAACTAGCTGGTTTAGAAAAGTTTAGTATGTGATGATAAACTAGAAATTATCTTTATATTCTAGTATTTTCAGCACTCCGTAAATTCTATTACCTAAATATTTCCACACTATTTTGTGATTTAAAAGTTCTTACTAAGGAATAAAAACTTTAATATACGATATGAGATTGTCTAATAATTAAAAAAGACATAATGGATGCTCAGTTTTAGGTTATCTTTGACTGTAGGGATGTAAGTCGTTAAATTTTTCAGATATACAATTTCATCATTGGCCTTATATTACACATTTACAATCTCTTAGGAGCCTTCAGACGCGGCTTGGTCTACCTGCTTGTGCTCAGTGTATCCAAATGAAAAGTGCAAAAGAAAAACCTATCAATCACTTGTGTGGTTTGTTTATGTTAGTCCCAATTTGCTAACACTTTAATGATTGATAAAGTTTTCGCTTTTCATTTATGACATCAGATAGCCTATGTTGTATAATCTGGTGTTTCTCTTTCCCCAGGTCCTATATAAATAGATATAATAATAATAATAATAACCATGCCATTGAGTCAGTTCTGACTAATAGAGACCCTATAGGAGCTCTGGTAGCATAGTGGCTAAGACACTTGCCTGCTAACCAGACAGCTGGCGGTTCAAACCCACCAGCCACTCCTCGGAAGGAAGGTTGGGCAATCCTACTTCCGTAGTGATACTGCCTCGGAAACCCAAGGAGGGGTCGCTATGAGTCGGGGCCGACTCGACGGCACATAACAACAACAACAACAGGACAGAGTAGAACTGTCTCATAGGGTTTCCAAGGCTGTAAATATGAAAGCAGACTATCACATCTTTCTCCTTAAGAACAGCTGGTGGATTCCAACTGGTAACCTTCTGGTTAGCAGCTGAGTGCTTTAACCACTGTGCCCCCACGACTCCTATACTACCATGTAGGGGTGCTTAATTTCTGAATATATTTTAGCTCCTTACCATTTATCAGATAACTGTGTGAGAGGACTTTACATGGAACTCAAGGAACAGAAATTATTTCTAGACTGCTTTCTCAAATTTATGATCAAATCTGTGATTTCATGTAAACTGAAGGATTGTTGCTTTTTAGTTTGAATAATTTTCTTCACAAACCCCTTGATTTCTGAAAGGTGTTTAAATGATAAATCAACATTTATGCGCGACATAGAAAAGTGCTCCCTCTGCTGACTTCATGGCAACCAAATTGCAAGTCATAGAATATGGAGCCCAGAGGAATCTCAAAGATTAGTTCCTGTGGAAGATTGCATTTTATCAAACTCATTGCTGTCCAGTCAATTCTGACTCATAGTGACCCTACAGGGTAGAGCAGAACTACCTGGTAGAGTGTCAAAGGCTGTAAATATTTACAGAAGCAAACAGCTACATCTTTTTCCCATAGAGCAGCTGGTGGATTCGAACCACTGACTTTTCAGTTAACAGCTGAACCACTGCACCATTAGGGTTCCTTTTTTTGCATTTTATAATATGAGAGAAAAGAAGCCCAGAGATAGTAAATTTCTTCCCAAGATCACATAGCTATTTAGCCAGCTCTAAAGGTCAGGTCTCCTGAGTCCCTCAGTGAGCCTCCCACTGCAGCGTCTTGAACCAAACAAACTGAATTTGATTGGGCAGCATTCATGAATCTTCAGAAATAAAAAAGAGGAACAATGGAAACAACAAAATGAACATTAGAAAACTATGTAACTTTTTGAGGACTGTAGTTTATTGAACTTTTAAAAAATATAAAAAATAATCTATACATCTTAACTGAATTGGAAAAAGAATATTTTAATTATTTTGAGCTACATTTTAATATCATAATTGTAATTAGACTAGTTTTAAAACCAAAAAGATTCAAAGTAAATCAGAGGATAATAAAATGTTTTCACATTTTTATAATTTTGGTGCAATAAAATAATAAAATCTTAGGGTTGGACTGGATTTTAAACATCAGTTATTCAGTCTAAATGCCCATGCACAAGCATGATAATAAGATAAAATCAGTGAGGCCAGAAATATAAAATGTATTATCTATATTGCTTCTGAAAAGTGTGATTTTGGTCACTGATTTATTTTAATCAAATAAATTAAAAGACGAGTTATAACTCAATAAAAAGGTTTTTATACCTGCAGTGTTGAAGTTTTAGCTAAAATGCTTTATAGTATATATGATTTTCCAGTTTAAGCAAATATAAATCTTGAGTCAATAATGCTCTTATTGGTATTTATACTGATTAATTTTATGTAGCTATATTTCTCAGCAAACTGTATATTGAATTGACAAATGGTCTTTTCCCCCAAAGAGCTAAACTTAAGTACATTTTTAAGGCACTAGATTAAATTTTACTGGTCATATAAACTATGATTGAAGTTTTAGTGCCTATCATTGTGAAAATTATTTTTCACTTAGTTCTCTGTTACTGGCCATACAGGCCATAATTTGGTTATGTCCCATCACTAGAGAAATTTTCAAAAGTTACGTAAAAAAAAAAGATTCAGCTTGCTCCTGTCCATATCACAGGTGAATTCTGAACCTCTGTGGGAGGTGATTGCCACTTGAGACTCTGGGAAGAAATGACTGGGCAAACAGACTAAGTAAGGACTTTTAGACAGAAATGAACAGAGTTCTCCAAATGAATTAAGACCATTATAATGCCAGAACCTGGTTGTATTATTGTGATAATGGCATTTTCCTTCAGATAGCAATCTAATGTTTTTCATTAAACAAAAATTCTTTATCTATTAGACCTTCAGGTAGATATATTTAGGCCCACCTATTGTTCTTACTGTGTCATTTTTAAATTAGTTCAAAGTGGATTTACAATGCTTGCTAAAGTGCAATGTAAGTTCCAGTTATTCAAAGGAAAATTTAAGTAGGGAATTGAATTGGAAAATTATCACATATTTTCTGTAATTAAGATGGATTTATACTAAAAACATGCAGTGTGTGCTTTAAAAATATTCTTTTCTAAGAAATGTACATTTGTTTTCAAATTGGGTTTCTTGGGCTTGTTTAGAGGTCTCATATCAAGTACCCCCAAACATAAAACTATACATTTTTTAAGTTATTTTAAAATTCTGATAATAAATTCACTGATTCCTAATTTATCTGGCATTAGGGAATAATATGTGGTCCATGAAACAATGGCTCAGTAAACAGAAACTTCCATGTTCAAGTGCCAACACTGTTTTTATTTTGTTAATGGAAGTCTTACTAAAATGTATTGCACATGTCCCATAAAGTGTCTTACACATGGCTTAGGAAAATCAAAATGCCCTGGACATATTTAACCTTTCTTAAAAATTCAGGATCATCATTGTAAACATCACTTTTGCACTATTCATGTTCTATGGGAGCATTTGCACCTGCAGTAAATTCTTTG